CTCTGCTTAATTGCAAATAAAGCAAAAGCAGCTTGGGCAGCCTCTCAGCCTCTTAGCTCAAAAAAGGAACTGCCAGCCCAGGCCTCAGAGGTGTTTGGGGCAGTTCTCAGGCACTTGACATGCCCCATCTGGCCTCTTCCTCCTTCTCCCCTCCCTGCTGACCCCCAACTCCATTCAGCTGGCCAGCCTGGCCCCTGTCCCCAGAATATCAGCACCCCCAAATGGGATCCATTTCCGGGTTGGATGTGTCAAATTTCGCTTTTCTCCAAGTGTCTCCATGCCTGAACTTTGAAAGGAGGAGGAACGTTCTGTTTTGGAATGCAGTGTGTGCATGGGGAGGCATGCGCTCAGACAACTTCCCCGGAGCATATCTGGCAGAAACTGGAGGCTCCTTGGGTGAGCTATGCTTTGGTGTCCCCAAGCCGACCCAGTTTGCCGCATTCAGGTTCTCTGGCGGACTTGGAGACTCTCTTTTTGCAATCCTTTTACTCCGGATTCTGTGGAGATCAAAGGAACTTGTACGCAAAACACTAGACATTTGGAGTAGGATTTATTTTTCAATTTTTCAATTGAAAGAATTCTAATCATAAGCCAGTCGGGCCAACTGAGCAACCACTCTAGAACAGCAAAGCCTTAACCAAACAGTGCAATTGTAAGGTGAGCTGAACAATTATTGAAACTGGGGTTTCTCTGCAAGAGGGATTTCGGCCCTTGCCCAGTGGCACAGAAGGGGCTGGTGGGGCAACCGCTCTTCCCCTGCTCTCAGAATTGAGAATTGGCAGGGGTGGGTCCGGCAGCTGCAGAGGCTTCCGGGCAGCCAAGCACCCAGGCCGAGCGCTGAGTCCTGGCGGCCCCGGTGTCCAGGTCGTTGAGCAGCCTCCGGAGGCGCGAGCTATAGTTGTGGCGCGCGGGCAGCCCGAAAGGCTGTGTGTGTATCTGTGTGCGAGGCTGGGTGAGTCACAGACATCTGCGCAGAAGTGGGGGATCTAGGGAGAGAGAGAAGACTGGCAGAACACAAACTAACCGGGACCTCTGGAAAAGACTGTCCAGCAAAAATTCCAGACCTCATCCCTCTCACTTCAGATCCCCTTCCCCAAGAAATTAATATATTTCGCAGAGCAGAGTGGAAAGCAAAGGCAGGCAAGATGAGGCCTGCCCACGAACCCCTTCCCAGCCAGAGTCCAGTCACACCTATCCTCTCCCCAGTTCAGAGCTGCCCCGGGCCTCCAGCCCCTGGCCTGGAGCAGGTTCAGGCTGGGGTAGGAGCGCTTGACTCGTTCTGAGAAACCTTCAAGTGCCCAGCCTCCAGAGCACCCCATAGCCTTGGGGACTCCAGGCCAGTGACTGCCCCCCATGCAGGCCCATGGCGCCTGCAGAAGGTCCCTCTCCTATAATTAGCGCTCATGAAAAGCATGTGTTTTGGGCTGGGGAGATAGGGGGACTGGAGCAGCGAGCGGCAACGCTCCCCCTTTATTCCTGTACTGTGTTTTTTGAATTCTGTTTCGAATCCACTAATTACAGCTCCGAAAGTGAAAATCTGTTTTCGCCGCCAAACCCCCTCGGAATGCCTGATTCCGGAGGCCCAAGGGGCAGAGCAACTCGGAGACCTGCGGGCCTGATGGGGGTGTTCTCTGATTGCTCTAGGCTTGTTTTATAGAAACAAAGAACAAGTCCCCCCCCCCCCAACCCCTCCCAGGACTTGTGCATATTTACAGAGCTCAACTGCAGTTTTAATAAAACATCTGTTCTTGCTTCTGCTGATGAGTTTCCATAATTGTTTTCAGACAAATTTAACAGGAAAATATAAATATATTTAGAAAAACCCAAGTCCCAGCTATCCCCCCATAGACAGTCATTCTTTTGCCAAAAAAATAAAATTAACGTAAGATGAGAAAAGGAAAATATAATCCAATGGAGGGAAAATCGGGCTCATCTGACCTGCTCTCCCCCCTTGGAGCGAATCCTTCCAGCAAATTTCAGCTGCATAATTAAAGATCCAACTGAAAGAAGGAGGCTTCTTTTCTCAGGAATGGAAGGTGATGGGGGAGAGTATGTTGGAAATTAATTTGGCTGAAAATCTTTAAGCAGTGGGGGAATTTATTTGTATTTCTGCTTCCCCTCCTCTCCCCCTTCTAGTATTTCTGCCTTTTTTCCCCCAGCAGCTGGTTTCTGTTCATTATAAATCGGCGAGACCTTTCAGTCTCTGCCCTCTGTTTAGGGACGTAATAAAACACTTAACTTTCCGGGGCTGAGACTTACATTCTGCTCCTCAGGTCGCCCACCCCCGCGCCCACTGCTTTTAGGCCCCAAATGAGACTATCCCCAACTTTGGGGCCCCTTTCCCCCCCAGACTTTGTTTAGGAGGGGCTCAAGGAAAGCCAGGCATCCTTGCTGGGGAGCTGCAGCACATGCTTCCCTAGAAGTCCCTTCTTTCTTCCAAGGTCCTTCCTTCCCCCACTCCCCCACCCACCCACCCATAAAAGAGATTTAAAAATACATAGAAAATCAACACTCATTGAAAACGAAACCTCATTAAGACATCCTATCTTCCATCATTCAATTTGTTGTACATTGCAACAATTTAATATCTTGAAGGAAATATCACTGACATGATTTATCCCTCTAGCAATCTCTCTCTGAAATGGGGGGGGGGAGCGGGGAGGAGGGAACTTATTCTCTCTTCCGGCCTGTTCTATGTGTTACACTGTTACCCTCAGGGCAGAAATGAGGCTGGGAACTCTGGGAGCGGCTACTTGTGTCCAGGGGTGCGCTGACTTGTTTCTTAGCTCAGCCCTCTGGGTCTTCGCGGCCCCCCCCACCCCAGTTCTTTCTCACTCTACTTCTTTGCCCTCCAGGGGGCCTGGAGCCCCAGCCAGCTGTTGAAAACCTCTGTCCAGGCACGCCATGAATTTGAGGACAGCTGGATTCTAGAGCAAAAATCAAGTCACGCTGGTGTCTGTGTTTATGTACCTGCCATGTCACCCCCAAATGAGACAACTCCTCTCAGAATTCCCCTCTTAAATTGGAACCCTCCTCAGTCTTTCACTTTTATCTCGCTGGGTAGAAGAAAGTATGGTCCACAAGGGGGAACCTTTATAATATGGGGGTCTTTCCCTTAACCCTTTTAAATATCAGCAAATTTCCCTCCTTTCTGAAGGCTTGGGGCTGTATTTTTAAGAGCCAACACAAACTGTCAGACAGGGAGACTCCTCAATCCCCTAACGAGGTTCATGTATTAACTAACATGTTGTCTCCACCAGCTCCTACACACTGTCTGCTTTTGGGTTCGAAACTTTATTTTTCCCCCCTAGCGACACTCCAGGGAAACCTTAACGTTACAGAAGATGAATAAACGAGTTTTTTCCCAGCGTAGTCCCGTTTATGGCTTTATTGCTACCCATTGATTACTCCGCTTTGTTACACAGAAGGAAAAGATCATAAAATCCGGCGACATCCGGGTTCTTGTTATAGCCACCCCCCCCCCCAAAATGGTGAAGAGAAAAATATGAGCTTCCACTGCTTCCTTCGCTAGCCCCACCGCCCCCTCTTTGTCAACTCAAAGCATTTTCAGTCTATGTCACGATATCAAATTAAGTTTGGATTAATCAGGAGAAAACCCACATCTGCACACCTTCCGCTGTTTCAGTTCGCCCACTGCGGCTCCCTCAGAAGCCTCGTACTCAGCTGCCTTTTTCCTAACCTTCCCTTCCTTTTTCTCGGCCCCAAGGTGGAAAGAAAATGGGGGTGGGGGCTGCTGAGAGGCCCGGCTCTACCAGGTGTGCCTGGCCCTTGAGGGAGCTCCCCAGGAGCCCTTTGCTGGAATCTCCCAAGCCCCCAGGGCTCAGGTCGAGGGGTGCCTCCCTTGGCAGGGGCAAGGGGCTTCTGACCTGTGTAGGGGCTCGAGCCTGCCAGACGCTAACTGTCCTTCAGAGCCCCACCAGCCTTGTCTCTCTGCCTGGATCTTATGTGAATTACCCCACCGGCCCTCCCTGGCTCCAAATCATAAATTCTCACCAACATAAACAGGAGTTGATGTGTCTAGAAAGATTCTCAGAGTTCTTTCTTCTTCCTTATTTTCCTTTCTCTCTCCCACCTTTTACTCCTTTCTCTCTTTTTCTATTGTATTTTCATACATTTTTCCCTTTTCTACCAAAATGCTGCAGCAGCTTCCCCCCAAAAAGGGGGTTCTGAGAGGCAGAAGGAGGCTAAAAGGAAGAGGAAGCGGATGCATGGCCCTTTTGCCCACTTTAGCTCGCCACTGTACCCTGAAGTCTCATCCTTACCCCCTTTAGACTTACTTACTCCCTACATCCCCCTTACACCTAAGCCTACCAGCCACACTCTCCTTCCTCTGAGCGCCACGTTTTATGCAGTTTCTTTCTACTTTTGATTTTTTTTTTTTTTAATTACTGGGGTGGGGGAATCCTGGCTTAGTGATGAGGACTCACTCCATGGAGGGTCAAACCAGGATTTCCTGCAGGATTTCTGGGGATTCCCCCCCTGAGCTGGGAAGGGGCTCTTCCCATGGAGAAATCAGGGTGTAATTTTAGAAGGGGGAAGATATAAACGATGAAATCGGATCGAAAATAGAGGGATTTCTCCAGCCCTGGCTCTAGCCACAGCACAGTAAAGTTAGCTGGAGCTTAGAGATTTCCTAGCAGTGTAGCCCCTCTTTCCTGGGCCCCAAGGCCCTGCTAATGCATATTCACCCTTCTCTCACCTCCAAATCAGTTCCCTAACATATATATTTTTAAAAGAAATCCAAGTCTTACTTTCAAAGCACACACTTAGTCTCAACTAGGGAATCAACAGAAGCAGAAGCGATTTTTTTCCCCCTTCTTGACATCTGGCTTGCGATTGGCTGGAAGGGGGTCAGCTGACTTTGTCATTTTGTCTGTCCTGGATTGGAGCCGTCCCTATAACCATCTAGTTCCGAGTACAAACTGGAGACAGAAATAAATATTAAAGAAATCATAGCCCGACCAGGTAAAGGCAAAGGGATGAATTCCTACTTCACTAACCCTTCCTTATCCTGCCACCTCGCCGGGGGCCAGGACGTCCTCCCCAACGTCGCCCTCAATTCCACCGCCTATGATCCAGTGAGGCATTTCTCGACCTATGGAGCAGCCGTTGCCCAGAACCGGATCTACTCGACTCCCTTTTATTCGCCACAGGAGAATGTCGTGTTCAGTTCCAGCCGGGGGCCGTATGACTATGGATCTAATTCCTTTTACCAGGAGAAAGACATGCTCTCAAACTGCAGACAAAACACCTTAGGACATAACACACAGACCTCAATCGCTCAGGATTTTAGTTCTGAGCAGGGCAGGACTGCGCCCCAGGACCAGAAAGCCAGTATCCAGATTTACCCCTGGATGCAGCGAATGAATTCGCACAGTGGTGAGTTTTACAGCTCCGAGATATAAATTAAATAAACTGAACTGGCTTTATGACCGGCTTCCCTAGAAGAACGGGCGGAGAGAGTTTTTTATGGCCCCATAAAAACAATCACGCTCGTCTCCTCGCCGACGCCGAGACAGGGCCCCCTCTTCTGCCCCCTCTGCTCGCCTCCCGCTTGCTCGCAGGGGCCTGGCCCCCTCGGCCCCTGACGCATTGGAGGGCTCCAGGCTGAGGGGGCAGGAACAGGGCAGGGTATGAGGGGAGGGGGCAAAGGGTAGGGGAGCCCCCCAAAGTCGAGTCAGGCTGAGGAGAAAGGGGGAGAGTAGGAGGCAGAGAAGTGGGGAGAAGTTTCCAAGGAGCTAGGGTGCTTGGGGAAGTGGGGGAGCCCAGTCGTTGAGAAATGGGGCCCTCATCCCCAGTATTTGGGATTTTTCAAAAACCAGTTTTTAGACTTACAGCTTTCTGCCTGATTCTTGCCCTCCCCCCCCCCCCCCCCCCACCTTTCTTTGGGACACTCACCCACCCACATACGGTGGGGGACTGAATGAAGTTGGGATCCTGGCTGTACCCCCAGTGGGGGTGGGGCAGGGCAAAAGGGAGAAGGCTGGAGTCTGAGGGGGCCCGTCAGCTGCTGGCCAAGTTGGGAGGGTCAGGACTTTGCTAGGCTAAATCGTCTACGGAGGATGCCTTGCTGATTGTTTTTAGTGTGTTTTGTGCCCGGATCTCTAGGGGTCGGCTATGGAGCTGACCGGAGGCGCGGTCGCCAGATCTACTCGCGGTACCAGACCCTGGAACTGGAGAAGGAATTTCACTTCAATCGCTACCTAACGCGGCGCCGGCGCATCGAGATCGCCAACGCGCTCTGCCTGACCGAGCGACAGATCAAAATCTGGTTCCAGAATCGCCGGATGAAGTGGAAAAAAGAATCTAATCTCACGTCCACGCTCTCAGGGGGCGGCGGAGGGGCCGCGGCCGACAGCCTGGGCGGAAAAGAGGAAAAGCGGGAAGAGACAGAGGAGGAGAAGCAGAAAGAGTGACCAGAACTGTCCCTGCCACCCCTCTCTCTCCTTCTCCCTTGCTCCCCCCCAATTCCCTCCTAATCACACCCTCTATATTTATCACTGGCACAATTGATGCGTTTTGACTCCCTAAAACAAAATTAGGGAGTCAAATATGGACCTGAAAGTCAACTCTGGACCCCTCCCTCACCGCACAAACTCTCTTTCACCACGCGCCTCCTCCTCCTGCTCCCTCGCTAGCTCCTTTCTCGGCTCCTCTGCAGGCCCCTTCCCCCGCCCAGGCCTTGGGGGCTCCGTCCCTGAACCTAGCTTCAGCTCCACAGATCTCCTTCCAAATGAGGACTTGGCCTCCCACTCCCTCGGCGCCCCCACCCCCGCCCCTGCGCGGAGAGCTGGCTCCCGGGCCGGGGCCTCCGCTCCGGGGCCTCAGGGCCCGGCCTGGCAGCCGGGGAGGGCGGGAGGCCCAAGGAGAGCGCGTCGTGGCCCCACAGCAACCCCCAGGGCCTCCCCGCAGCCCCTGTCCGGCCCCTCTGCCCCAGCAAATGCCCAGCCCAGGCAAATTGTATTTAAAGAATCCTGGGGGTCATTATGGCATATTACAAACTGTGACCGTTTCTGTGTGAATATTTTTAGCTGTATTTGTGGTCTCTGTATTTATATTTATGTTTAGCACCGTCCGTGTTTCAATCCCATCTTAAAAGGGGAAAAAAAAAGAGGGAAAATTACAAAAAGAGAGAAAAAAAAGTGAATGACGTTTGTTTAGCCAGTAGGAGAAAACAAAATAAATTAAAAAAAAATCCCCCTCGTGTTACCCTCCTGTATAAATCCGACCTCTGGATCCGTTCTCGAATATTTAATAAAACTGATATTATTTTTAAAAGTTTATATTGGGATTTCTGTTAATTCGCTCGCCCGCCGGCCTGGGGTGAAAGTTGGAGCAGGCTCCGAGCGCTCCCGCGTCCGCCCGCCGCCTGCAAGCCCCCAGCCCCCTGCGCTCGCCTTTCCCGGGAGCTGGGCGCAGAGCCGGGGCCTCCCCGCTCTCCTAGTGGACGTGCTGGGGGAGCTGGGAGGCCTCTCTGGGCTTCCCAGCGGAGCAACACACTCACCCCGCAAAAAAAAAAA